TTTTTGTTACCGGCCACTATTTTTGTTGACCTACAAAATTTCATTGAAATTGTTTCAGGGGTTTTGGAGAAGAAGTCGAAAATGTAAATTGTTTACGGACGCACGACGGACGACGGACGACGCCGGACAAAAGGCGATCGCAATAGGTCACTTGAGACTTTGTCTCAGGTGACCTAAAAAATGGTAATTGAAGTATTGAACTGCTTTCAGTTGTCATTCATCGACAATATGAATTCCAACAGGACAAAGGCAAATCCAATATGAAGCGCTAGCGTGCTTCATTGAATTTGCGTTTGTCCAGGCCAGTTTGCATTCATATTGCCTATGAATGCCAACTTCAAGCAGTTCAATGCTTAAATGTTACAATAGAGCATATCACTGTAACAAACCTTATCGATGGCGACGTCAATATACATAATTTATCTATATACATATACCATTTCGATAGAATAGTGTTAGAATCAAAATTCAGTATTTGTTATATCAGTCATACAAACAATAAAGACGACTTTTTATAGTAGTGTCACAAACGATAGTGACGTCAGTAAATAAATTGTCCAGAAATATAGCAGTTATTATAGTAGTGTCACAAACAGTATGGACGGCGCTTTCAATATACATTGAACAGTGTGGAATTAAAACATTGTGGAATTAAATAACGTGTGCTTTAATTATTTAAAACTTTTTTTGACGGTGCTGTAATCATGTTTTGAATAGTACAACAATCGTATGTTTTCCATTACTGCTAAAAACGTGTTGAATGTACTGTCAGTATATACTGAATCTAATTAAAATATATCTTCACATCGCTCCCGTTTTCTGATATGTCGCGTTGACATATCAGAAAACGGGAGCGATGTGAAGATATAATTTTAATTAGATTGAGTATATACTGAAACACGGTCAAAAACGTGTTTTATTGAGACCCTAAACACACTCTCCTTAAGATCGACTTTACTGCTGAACTATACACTGCGTTGAGTTTTTATACAATATAATATTATTCTATATGGCAAAGACTATGGACAAGTTTCATGTCCGCCATCATGACCTCCTTCGGAAATATGCTGTTTATTTGTGTGATATGAAGTTCGCTGTTTTATGCTCATTGGTGTGCATTGTGTTTTTCGTTTTGATTGTCGCTATGGACGTAGTATTACTGGGATCCTACCACTTAGATTTACATGGCGGGTATCGTCGATGAAACAGTAGATGCTCACCCTTCCGGCACACCTGGTCTCATTCACCTTGTTTTCTTCGTTAACATTTTGCCATGTTTTAATGATTTTAAGCTTGAATTGCGGTTATGCTGACGCTTAGGTATTCTCTCGATTTTAGCATACCATAGGCTGGGTTTTTTCAGATCTAGTTAATGTAAAACATTTTTGATATTTATGTTATGCTGACGTTTAGCTATTATCTCGTTTTTAACATAACATAGGCTGTTTTTTCCGATCTTCTTTACGTAAAACATTTTTGACATTTCTCATTACTGTCAGTTATAACCACCGTAGTTTGGCAATGTTAGACCGATCGCTTTTTAAGCAAGCAAACTCATGTTGAATTTTACGGTTTTGACATTCACCCGAAGTTACTAATTTTATTGCACTGCTTTCTGATGACTCCAACAAAAAACACCATTTAATATTAATGTCATTCACCTGTGTAATGAGAAGAGGACTAAAGACATTGACGGCGAACTGCTCTAACAAGTCGTTGTGTGTGAGATTTCCTAAATACTGTTTCTTGTAAGCGATGCCTGCATTGTTTATGATAAGATTCAGACCCTCCTCAGCAAGAACATGTCGTGTGTTTTCATATGTCGTCTGAATATCATCATCTCTCGTGACATCTGTAGGCAGAAACGACACGTATAAACGTTTACCGTACTTACCAATGTACTTACCTTAACACGAAGCTCGAACTGGTAGATAAGTAGATGAATACACACTATCATTAAACACATATCGGTATACAGTCAAAGAAACACAAATTATTGTTTTCACCAAGAATCCTTTGTTTCGACTGTTTGATATGGCATGAATATCGGAAGTCAAATTGATGGTTAATCTTACTTCAATTTCATTGTTTATTTGCAATTTTTTAATGCAGAAATAATGTCTTACAGTGACCTTCGACATCAATAGAAAGTTGTAATAATCGGTTTTCTTTTTATTTAAATATGAGTCACGATGAACTATTGGTTTTTGCTTGACATTCGATTTGTGTTTTATATGTATAATTCATCTTCTTCATCTACAGCAACATTTCATACAAACACATCCTCGAAATTCTAATTTCTAGGAGTTTCGCTAACGTACGTTCCCTTCACTGGAATATGTCATGGCAAACTCGAAGGCACGCGGTTACCTATTTGATTAATTTAACTAACCAATCGCTAGACTGGTGATTGTCCTTTGAATATTATAGAGGAAAGAGGTCCGTCTTGAAAACTAACTAAATTAACCGTTATGCTGCCGCGCAATTCTTTTGGTGTACATCAAAGGACTAAACTTGTCTACTTGGCCCATCCATAAGGCTTACATTTTGCTATGACATATTCCAGGGATGCAGAATACGTAAGTTAGGGTAACCCCTGGAACTACGAGGATGCATGAAAAAACGGTAATAACAGTAATCTCGTAGCTGCCTCCATTTTTCAGTTGGTCATGTTACAGGTATTACCTGGGCTAGAGTGAAAGGTGCTATGACGTTTGTTGTAAACACTGACGTCATCAGTTCTGGGGTGGTGTCCGCGAAACCAGATCGCAGGTGAATACCAGCATTACACAAGACGAGATTAAGACCTTCACCTTCTAGCACCGAGGACATGTTCTCCTTGAAGTTATTGAAACTATTGAAGTCGCATATATCTACAGAGGAAAAGAAGGATGTTTTGTAAGGATAGTTTTCCTTTAACACAGCGAAACGAATCAAATTATACTTGTTACGATTATATTTTTTTTTAGAAATATCGTACGGATTTTTTTCTTTTGCTTTAATTATTCCTGGGGATTGATGTCCATAGTTTTATTTTTTGGGAGGTGAAATGTTCCACTGACGTTTACGAGATTAAATATTACACTGTTGATTATGTATGCATGGTCACTTCAGTTTCACATTTTAAAATACTAACACAATAAAAATGGTGAAAATATAGAAATTTGATTTGTAAATTGATAGGTAACCATCAGATCAGGTGATATCCACAGTATCTTTGTCAAAATTCGTTTCCAATTTTCAAGTTATCCAACCAAGCAGGGTTTTCTCCCGGGTTGAGGTTTCATTGTCTATATTACACACTATCACGTTACGTTATCGATTTCTTTTCATTAATGAAGAAAAATCTTAACTTTTTAGGATAAACCATGTATAAGAAAAACATTCAATGTCAACGTAATGGAAATATCACTCCAGTGATTGTATATTTCATACCAAAATAACAAGGAAAACATTAGTTCTTGTGGTACGTCCTTCTTTGAATAACGTATTGATGTATATGTCACACAATACATCCACATATTACGTACACCCGTCCCCTAAAGTAAACAAGCGACACTATGTGGTATTATTCTTAAGGGAAATAACCCACTGGCAATTTAACAAATGTATATTATCAACAATGAAAACGATTGTTGGCACGATTTTTGATTATTATATAAGTGTTAGTAATCTTATCACACCTGTGCAATTAATACGTACATCCTTTCCAACTTTCATGACCAATATCTTAAATTATTATATTTATAGTCAATGACTGCGACATGATGATGTGTCACAAATACCCGTATGTTAATGCTAATAGTTGTATTTATTGTGAACTTGTCCATGACAGGAGTGCAAGCAAGATAAGTAGAATTTCCAGATACTAAGTTTTGTAACAACGATTACTGATAGGTAAATATATAGCTATACAATGAATCAAGTTAATCACCAATTGATGATGGAACCGAAAAACATCAGGCTTATGGCTAATATACGTACCCAATTTCATCATTTTCACACAGGAATGTGCCTTGGCGATTTCTTGAAGAGACTGGAAAAAAATAACACGTATACTAAATATGTAATACGCCCCTATTGGACGATTTACAAATCATAAACATATACTCTACAATAGCAACGAGGATGGTTTGTCTATAAATAGAATGTATTACAAAGAAATAAAAAAAAATAAATTCTACCAATAAAAATCTATCATAGAGACAGGCAAACTCGTTCTAGTTAAGGCCTATAATAACAGACCAAGACACATATGTCACATTGCCGTGCAGACGGCTTGAGACAAAAATGACTGAGTTTACAAGGCCAAAAGTTAGGAGTAACATTTATAATTTTGGTATTCATCTAAGAAGTAACATTGAAAGAAATACATAATATCATTACAAATTTGCAATAAAGTTACATCTAACTTTTACTATTGCATTGGAAAGTATAGAACTACAAATATGGATTAAGGATGTACTTTTCTGAGGTTTCAATCACGTTCAAGTCTCGTTTTGATCTGGTGTAACGGGGTTTTGTAATATTTAACAAATTATGATCAAGTTTATTAGCAAACACGCATCTGAAAAATATGTTAAAAAACTAGATGCCTGTTGTTTGTAGAACTTATTTTAGAAGAATTTAAAAAAAATACCAATTTGGCGGCCATTTTGAAAACGTGTATTAATGTGTATTTCTTGCGCTTCAAAAAAAGACCAAAATTTCACCACCTTTTTTGACACTAGATTGATCACTTAAATTGTCATTGTGTCGCCATTTTTAATTGTAGCAGGTTCAATTTTGCTGTACAACTTTATAGTGCAACCACGGACTTAGATAATCTAATTCCGTGGTGCAACAAACTTGAAAATTATACATTATTGATATTTTTTTACGTATTTAGTGTAACTGAAGCACTTTTGATTTATGACTCCGAATAAGGTAAAGAAATAACACAAATGATAATGGGACAAAAAAAGAAGCACACTGACCCCCCATTTTTGTAGATGTTATATTTTAGAAAGAGAAACACATTTTCATTTAATTCATTAAATATTAAAAAAAGTTTAATAGCAGAACTTTTTATATCAAGCGTTTTATCTGCAAAAAAATGAGTATTTTTTCATTAAAAAATAGGTGGTAGGGGTAACTAAAATCGGCTTTCTGAGTTAAAAGAATAAGATTAAGAAATTTTCCTTCCACAATTTAAAAGAAAATAATATTTTCATCAATTCTATAAACATTCATACATATCTGATAACATACTTGGAAGAAATTATATGAATATGAATGCATTTTCTACTATGCCATTAACTCCTTTTTCCAAAAATCCATGTAAGAAAAAAGTTTAATACAGGAAATTTTTAACTTCTCAGAGGTGTACATCCTTAAAATAGCTCGAGGATCCTCTGGTTCCAACACCAGACCTAATTTAAGGCTTTCTGACAGATAGATATCTGGTGCATAGTCCGAATTATTCTGACGTTTTATCGACTTTTTTCATATCGGTCTGTCGTCGATTAACAGACCGATATGAAAAAAGTCGATAAGACGTCACAATAATTCGGACTATCTGGTACAGTGTATGAGCTATCTATCTATCAGCATGTCTCAAGTTTCGTGTTATATCTGTAGCCAGAGGAAACTCGGTCAATGTTTGAAAGTACTCTCAATTTGTAAAACAATAGCTTTTGTTTCCGTGTAGTATAAGTTAATAGTAGTTTCAGCTGTAGTTTGATGTTAAATCGTAGATTGACTGAACTACACGAGTGTTATATGAAAGATTAAGCGAGGTCAAGTTGTCGAACGATTGTAGGATTAAATAATACCTGACCCCGTTCTATAGTAAATATAAAACTTACCGTGGCCGATTCTGGATCCCGACATGTTGCGAACAAATGCTTCGGTGGAGACGTAAAGCAGACGACTTGTTTGACGAATTCCAGTCCAAGACCCCGGTTCGCACCTGTGATCAGAATGGCACGTGGAGCTATCGACATCGTCCTGGTATTATGAAATGCTTCAAGTATCAGGCCGGTAAAAGATAATAGAGTTATTCCCCTTATACCGAAGTGTTTTTTACGACTTCGGAAGCAAATAATGCTATAATTAGGCCTATGGTGTCCAGGAGGATCGTATTTTGGTTCATCTATAGTTTAATTCATGAAAGACAAAGCGCCTCTCTCGACCGTGAAATATATGTATTCATTTCTTATTCGAATTTGTTGCATATTACATTGAGACAATATTTTCCATTGATCGGTATGCAAATAACCGACAATAAATAAGTGGATCGAAGTGCAAATTAACATCATATGTACGACACAAATATGTAAATATCTATAACACATTACACTGATTAGCTTGAAGTACATAACATGTTTGCCTTCCTCACGTCAAACGATCCTTTAAGGAAAAGTCCAACCGGTGCATTTCATTAGACGGAAAAAAGAAAGACTTTTCATGTTAATTATTCTTGAATTGGTTATATTTCTTTTTAAAAATAATTCAATGTCCGAGTTGTATGAACTATCCAAAACGGATTGTATTTCGTCTTCTAATACAAAATAATATTATATAATAATACTGGACATAGGTAAAAGCCTATATATCCAGATCATATGTATAGTCAGCCTCCGGGCTTCAAACGTTTTTATTGATCGTGATGTGACGACGTGATTTGGCAGGGAATTCTAATGATTGACCACTCTTTCTTTAAAGGAATACTTTCTCAAGTTCAATTTAGACATTCCCTTTTTAGAAACATGTATCATATCTCCTCGTAATCTTCTATGTTTTAAAATTGGTAATTTTAAAAATCCTTAATCCGTCTTGATAACTTAGGTCTTTTATTAATATTCCTGGTATCTGTTTTGTGGCTCTCCTTTGTACACTTTCAATTTCGTTGATGTCCTTTTGTAGATATGAATTCCATATACTAGCTGCATATTCCAGATGTGGTCCCACGACTGCTTTATACAGCAGACAAAACGATGATGCGTCTAAATATGTATACGTTCTTCTAATTGTTCCCATAATCCTGTTTGCTTTGTTTACCGATTCATGTATATGATCATTAAATTTAAGTTTGTTATCTGTGATTACTCCGAGATCCTTTCCTTTGTTAACGTTTTCCTAATATGATACAGTGGAGAAGAAATTGACGTACTGATGAACCTTTTTATCTCTACCAGCATAAATCTAAACATTATGGCTGCTCAGTTGTTCTCATCGATAGTAATTGTCTACTGCGAGGCTAATGGCCTCTTATTTTGTAATATTTAATATATATATATATATATAGTAAGCAGAGTTAACAGTTAATAGTTCATGTACATGTATGTAAGGTTATTTTATACTGTAATTTTGAAGCCCATATATGAAGACACATGTCTTGCTTACAGTAACAATTGCAAGCATGTCTCTGTGTTTGTGTGTGTCTGTTCTTACTGTATATATGTTTACTGTTATATTTACAATATCATTTCAACCCAGTCCCTATACTCTAAAGACTCCACTGTTATTCAACTAATTCCTTCGTATGAAGTGTCTCAAAACAACCTGATAGAGGAAAAGAAACCTGGATTTTTCTGTGACATAAGCCAAGCGTTTGACAGTGTATAGCGTGGGGCTTAATTTATAACTTGAAACAAACTATGGAATTGCTGATGATTTTCTTAACTGGATTCAGGGTTATCAAACTGATAGGCATCAGAGGGTACATTGTATTATAAGATTGTTATAAGTCTACATATATAGTTTGAAAACTTTAAAAGCTAAAGTACCGTTAGGGTCGGTTATCGAGATTTTTATATTTATTAATGACCTTGATGATAACCTTCTCTCCCATGTCAAGCTCTTTGCTGATGGCACCTATCTCTATGTTTTAATAAATAATGATGGTAGGCATGCTGGAGATATTCTAAATGGAGATCTTAGGAAAATGATTCTTTAAGCAGATAAATGTGATATAAGATTTAATCCAAACACGACAGAATCGTTATTAATATCCAATAGAAATAACCCTGAGGCAGCTCACCCAGACTTGATATTCTAATAGTGATGGTATTATTGTTAAAAATCATAAACATCTGGGATTGTTTTTGAACAGCCATGGCTCATGGTCAGATCATATTAATTTCATGTATGAAAAAGGTTGTACAAAATTTCAGATAATGCGAATGCTTAAACAAAATGAACAACCATCAAACTGTGCTGTACTGACATTTTCAATTATGGTTGATCTAGGAAATTTAACATGATATTATGTCAACTGTGGAATAATGTGAGGCAGCTTAACTCAGATTTGTTTAACGATCATCTTACTGATAACCCAAATTGTGCTTGTGGTTATTTTATAGAAGATGTAGGTCACTTCTTCCTTATTTGCCCTTGATATGCAAATGAAAAGCAAATTTCATTTCATTCATTATCTCATGAAATTAACAATTTCGTATTAGATACAAATTTTCTCACAAAGGGTGATGCGGATTTAAGTACTGAAACACATGCATTTGTTCGTTCTTGTGTCCTGGATTATATAGAAAAATCTGGAAGGTTTTAGCCATATTGTACCACATATTATATTATGTATCCTTAATTACCTGTAATTCTAGTGTAACTGGTTAATATGGCACTGTGTGTAGTTGCAGTGACTTTGAAGTGCCCTAACCAAACACTAGATCTACCCTGTTAAAATATCTGATATTCCAATTACATCACGTTTGATTAGCGCGGAAGGAACTGTTGGCCCGGCTGTATAGCCTTTTGTTATTTGTTTCAACAAATTTTATTGTATTTACAAAAGGATGAGACAACAGGCAGTGCCTATATTAGTCTTCTCCTGAAACGGTACAACATATATACAATTACAAAGAATAATAAGATATATTTACAAAATTAACGATAATTAACTACGTATTGAAATAGAAGGACATTTATAGGGAAAATATGTATATATGTTTGAATTAATGATATGGCTGAATGTATAAACTACACACACTAACAACGAGGCTAACACTTCTACCAGTGGCGTAGATGACTAGTTCATTTTCGATGTTATGGTACAAGTACTACGTCATTGGCAACATACATACTTCTAAACACACACGCACACACACACCCACACACACATTCACAGAGCAGATTGATATTACGGGAAATATTAAATAAAAATATACTAATCAAATTCGAGTTAGGTGAATCTATTAGTTAAATCAATAAATTTCTCAACTTTAGATTATATATAATTATTAGTTTCTGGTGATAGCTCATTATCTCCTGTTGTAAGTAATTTCAGACTAATAAATCCTACTACATTATATATTTCATAAAAATCCAGTCTGAAATCAGAATGATTAGGACAAAAAAGAAAAAATGAATCTTGAATAAGGTGATCAGTAAATGTATCAAAGTTTAAGTCACTTGCTGTATGCCTGATTTGACAAAGTATTATATTAAAATTCCTAGGATTGCACTGTTTAAAGATCAGGGGAATATTATCTACTTGACTATTAAAATAGTTTTTAAGTTTGTATTTGAACGAAGTAAGGGAAATAGCAAATGTTATAGAAGAATCTAATAAGTTCCATAAGTTCATTGTATCAGGAAAAAAACTAGTGTTGTAAATATGAGTTCTAGCTTGAGGTACATTAAATAATCTAGTATGCCTCAATCCATATGGGTTATTAGCATTATTAATAAAAGGTACAACAATATTATATAGTCAGGTGTTAAGCGGTTTATTATCTTATACATAAGAATTAATTTATGTTTATGACGTCTTAAACTTAAGGTTTCCATATTTACCTCAAGGTATAATTTACGATGAGATGTCCCACTTCTTAACCCGGATATAATTTTCATAGCTTCAATTTGAACAGATTCAAGCATACTAGATTCTCCAATGGTACAGTTATTCCAGATAACATCACCATACTCAAGCACAGGTCTTATATAAGAATAAAATAATGTTTCCAATGATTTTCTATCAATTTTATATTTAAGCATTCTCAATATGTTGAGTCTAATACAAGCTTTATCAAAAATATCATGAATATGATTCCCCCCCCCCATGTACCTTTAGAATTACAAAGTAAAAAAGAGGGGGGGGGGGGGGCTTTCTTTTCTTTCTAGACACTGTTAGTCCTATGGTTTTATTGGGATTGAATTTAAGTTTCCACTTGTTTGCCCATTCGTTAACAGAATCTAGATCTTCATTCAGTGCAATACAAGGAGTGATCATGTCGTCTTCAACAATTACAAAAATTGAGGTATCATCAGCAAACAGCTTTATATTTGTACTTATCTCATGGGTTATGTCATTTATAAAAAGAAGAAAAAGAAAAGGAACAAGAACTGAACCTTGTGGAACACCTGCATAGATGGACTGAAAGTTAGAACTGTACCCTTTAAATAACACCCGTTGTTTTCTGTCTGATAAATAATTTTCAAACCAATTAAAAAGATTTCCACAGATTCCATATTTTTTTAATTTATACAATAATCCCTTATGCCAAACTCTATCAAATGCTTTGCTAATATCACAGAAAACCAATCTAATATCTTTACCTTGATCTAAGTTTTTAATTATTGTATCATATATAGATAATAGTTGATTGACTGTTGAGTACCTGGGCTGGAAGCCAGATTGATGGTTACTAATTATGTGATGTTAAGTTACATGGTTAAATACATATTTTAATACATTTTTTTCTAAGATCTTAATAAAACATGAAGTAACAGCTATTGGTCTATAGAGCAGATTTCCATATTAGTGGAATTATACATTGTGAAATAGTTTTTTGGAAAATAATTTTTAGAGGTAATATTAGCGAGGGTAGTGGATTTTTTTTATTAATTTAGGTGCAATATTATCAGGTCCTGGGGGTTTATTAACATTAATTAATTCTATCTGGTCCTGAACATCTCGATCAGTTATTATGATATTGTCAAATTTAAGATGACTAAGGGGAGGTAAGTCAAATTCAAGGTTTGAAGTATTAATATCGTCTGTGACAGAATTAGATATAGACGAAAAGAAGTTATTTAAAGCTTCAGCTTTATCAAATGGATGAATTAAACTATTATGACCTACTTTTAGAGGAGGTGGTGATTTACTTTTATTGGAAAGGTTACTTATAGATTTAGCTATACGCCACTATTTACCAGGAGGAATTGATTTATCAGATAAGGAATTTTGAAGTTTGTTTTAGAATAATTAACTTTAGCTGTTCTGATGAGATATATACAGTTGTTACGTGCCACTCTAAACTTACACCAAACGTTCTCTTTGTTAGTATTAACTGCAATTTTATGAAGACGATTTTTTCCCCTAAGATTAGTACGTATCAAATGTGCCATCCACGGTTTATCATTAGGTCTTATTCTTATAATTTATTTAGGAATATGAATTTCAGCTTGGGTTGATATTTTATCCATCAGTATGCTGTTAAATTGCTCGACATTATCATTGTTAGCAATTACTGTTTCCCAATCAACAGATAGTAAATTTGAATTAATTTTATCCCAGTTCGCTTCATCAAATTTGTATAATGTACGTTTAAATGATTTTCCTTTTAATACTTTAAAAGACAAGTTCAAAATTATTGGACAGTGGTCACTACAGAGTGGAGAGAGAACTTCAGTATTTTGTACTATACCTATGTTATTGATATAAAACACATCAATACTGGTAGAAGAAGTATTAGTTATCCTAGTAGGAGATTTAATTAGATTAATTAATTGAAACTTTGTTAAGGTTTTGGGAAGATGTGAATTATTAGGTAAAAGTAGCAGATTCTCAATTTGGTTGTCAAATTTTGACCAATACTGTACTAGAGAGTTATAGATGGTCGATATTAACAGCAAAGTATTTTTTGTTTGTTAGATGTGGCATTTTACAGCTCCATATTTTCCATATTAATTGGTTCTAAATCAGATCATCTAACAGCATGAATATTTTTTTAAATAGCCTTTTGTTATCATGTCACTTCCTGTTCAAACAGAACACAACTGACTGTTTCAACAATACCTGACCTCTTAGTCGGACCGCATTTGATTGCACACTTGATACACCTACAACGATTTTATAGGGTATGTTGCGTTGTTTTCTAATCCATTCTGTTAACTACATCTGCTGTACGTAGTTCGGTTTATCTCCTCAGCATTGAGGGTATATCGTCACTTACTTGTGTATTTCGTCAATTAAGTATATGTATATCAAAACTTAGTGATGTACATGTACCTTGTCAGTAGCTTGTGTATATCGGAACTTATTTCGGTGCCTCGTCAGTAGCTTGTGTACATCGTAACTTATTGATGTACCTTTTCAGTTGCGTTTGTATATCGTGACTTATTTGTGTAACTTTTCAGTAGCTTGTGCAAATCGTCACTTCGTCAATTACGTATATAAACATCGTCACTTATTTATGTAATTCGTCAGTAGCATGTGTATATCGGCATTTATTTATGTATCTCGTCAGTAGCGTTTGCATATCGTCACTTATTTGTGTACCTCATTAGTAACGTATGTAAATCATTCCTAATTGTGTACCTCGTCATAGCGTGTGTATGTAGTCATTTACGTGTGTAACGTACCTCGTCAGTAACGCGTGCAAATACGGACAATTATAACAATATACACATTTATTGTACACAACGTCAGTGGCTTGTTTACGTGTATCACGCAACAGACATAATTAGACTACAGTTAAGAATGATTTACTAAATAATTTCCTCCATGCGAATATTTGTTGTTAAAATATGATAATAAAAGAACCCCCTATAATTGTATCTTAAAATAGCTGTGTTAAATAGTTTTATTTTCGAATCACCAGAGTATTCCTACGGTGTGTGACAATCCATTGATCCCTATAAATTACAATGTAGTTCCTTATGCTTATTGACCTGTATTTCCTCACCTTAAATACCTATATCATATCAGTGCATGTGCTCAGCCTTTCAAGCTGCTCAAATTATAAATATACATCTTGTTTCCACTATGTTTATCTATTACCAAACTAAACCGCTATGAGGTTTGAAAAATACATTTTTTATAACTCACATAACCAAATTCTGAAATTATACATTTGAAACATATTTCATACAGTTACCAGTTCATTTATCGAGTATTCTAGTACTAGTTCTAATTCGTTAATACATGCGCATGGTAAAGATCATTAAACACACAAGTTACATATCAAACTGAAAACATTATCAATTTTATTGAAGAACAACCACAATTAACTGCGTGAATTATTTTATCGTCATTATTTTTTTATGTTAAGAAAGACATTTTGGTTGGCTCGCACATTTTACGATCGAGCTGTCTGTGGTTATACCGGTTTCGCTATACTGGCATCTAAAGTTTGTCGATGTTTGTGTTGATGGGTTAGTGTCTAACCAAGCTGCACAACAGGTACTAAAGGATCCATCTGTGTAACACACGAGAAAAATACATAAAAGTAACATTCGTAGAGACAAAATGAAACATGGGTCAGGAATAAATGAATAACAATACTAATTCGGAGTTAAGTTTCTTGTTCAAAGATACAACACAGTGCCGTGACATGATTCGAATCTGCAACCCTTTGGTTACGTGCTCGGCGTCCTACCACTAGACTACCGTGCCTCGCAAACATTGTTATGTGGATTGCTTGAATATTTGCCTAGGAAAGAGTAATGCCACCATCTACCTTTGTAAAGTATATTTAATTAAACATTGCTAAACATATGCCTCCAAGAGCTATAGGAGGAATACGTCTGGTTTTCTGTGTTAAGATGCTGTATTCAAAGATCTAACATATATTACTCTGAGGAGGCTACCTCCTATAGTCCCTTGTCAGGTAGTTTGACTAAAATATAAAAGGTGTTCGAGCATAGACAAAGACATATATAAGGGTTTAACATACATCATCTCCGCAGCTGGCTGGTACGTTGAATACCGACGGGTCTTTGATTCCCGTTGTCAGTCCAGTGTAGCCCAAGGCAATCCAATATTCCACTACAACAAATTTAAAATATATCACGATACATGAAGAAATATACCGCCAACATAGAGCTACTACCTCAATCATCGAGTACTAATAGAGTGTTACTACCTCTATCACCGAGTACTAATTGAGTGCTACTACCTCAATCATCGAGTACTAATTGATTGCTACAACCTCTATCACCGAGTACTTATTTCTTGTTACTACCTCTATCACCGAGTACTAATTGATTACTACTACCTCTATCACCGAGTACTAATTGATTGTTACTACCTCTATCACCAAGTACTAATTGATTGTTACTACCTCTATCACCGAGTACTAATTGATTGCTACTACCTCTATCAACGAGTACTAATTAATTACTACTACCTCAAACATCGAGTACTAATTAATTACTACTACCTCACTCATCGAGTACTAATTGATTGCTACTACCCCAATCATCGAGTACTAATTGATTACTACTACCTCTATCACCGAGTACTTATTGATTGTTACTACCTCTATCACCGAGTACTATTTAATTACTACTACCTCTATCACCGAGTACTAATTGATTACTACTACCTCTATCAACGAGTACTAATTAATTACTACTACCTCAAACATCGAGTACTAATTAATTACTACTACCTCACTCATCGAGTACTAATTGATTGCTACTACCCCAATCATCGAGTACTAATTGATTACTACTACCTCTATCACCGAGTACTTATTGATTGTTACTACCTCTATCACCGAGTACTATTTAATTACTACTACCTCTATCACCGAGTACTAATTGATTACTACTACCTCTATCAACGAGTACTAATTAATTACTACTACCTCAAACATCGAGTACTAATTAATTACTACTACCTCACTCATCGAGTACTAATTGATTGCTACTACCCCAATCATCGAGTACTAATTGATTACTACTACCTCTATCACCGAGTACTTATTGATTGTTACTACCTCTATCACCGAGTACTATTTAATTACTACTACCTCTATCACCGAGTACTAATTGATTACTACTACCTCTATCAACGAGTACTAATTAATTACTACTACCTCAAACATCGAGTACTAATTAATTACTACTACCTCACTCATCGAGTACTAATTGATTGCTACTACCCCAATCATCGAGTACTAATTGATTACTACTACCTCTATCACCGAGTACTTATTGATTGTTACTACCTCTATCACCGAGTACTATTTAATTACTACTACCTCTATCACCGAGTACTAATTGATTACTACTACCTCTATCAACGAGTACTAATTAATTACTACTACCTCAAACATCGAGTACTAATTAATTACTACTACCTCACTCATCGAGTACTAATTGATTGCTACTACCCCAATCATCGAGTACTAATTGATTACTACTACCTCTATCACCGAGTACTTATTGATTGTTACTACCTCTATCACCGAGTACTATTTAATTACTACTACCTCTATCACCGAGTACTAATTGATTACTACTACCTCTATCAACGAGTACTAATTAATTACTACTACCTCAAACATCGAGTACTAATTAATTACTACTACCTCACTCATCGAGTACTAATTGATTGCTACTACCCCAATCATCGAGTACTAATTGATTACTACTACCTCTATCACCGAGTACTTATTGATTGTTACTACCTCTATCACCGAGTACTATTTAATTACTACTACCTCTATCACCGAGTACTAATTGATTACTACTACCTCTATCAACGAGTACTAATTAATTACTACTACCTCAAACATCGAGTACTAATTAATTACTACTACCTCACTCATCGAGTACTAATTGATTGCTACTACCCCAATCATCGAGTACTAATTGATTACTACTACCTCTATCACCGAGTACTTATTGATTGTTACTACCTCTATCACCGAGTACTATTTAATTACTACTACCTCTATCACCGAGTACTAATTGATTACTACTACCTCTATCAACGAGTACTAATTAATTACTACTACCTCAAACATCGAGTACTAATTAATTACTACTACCTCACTCATCGAGTACTAATTGATTGCTACTACCCCAATCATCGAGTACTAATTGATTACTACTACCTCTATCACCGAGTACTTATTGATTGTTACTACCTCTATCACCGAGTACTATTTAATTACTACTACCTCTATCACCGAGTACTAATTGATTACTACTACCTCTATCAACGAGTACTAATTAATTACTACTACCTCAAACATCGAGTACTAATTAATTACTACTACCTCACTCATCGAGTACTAATTGATTGCTACTACCCCAATCATCGAGTACTAATTGATTACTACTACCTCTATCACCGAGTACTTATTGATTGTTACTACCTCTATCACCGAGTACTATTTAATTACTACTACCTCTATCACCGAGTACTAATTGATTACTACTACCTCTATCAACGAGTACTAATTAATTACTACTACCTCAAACATCGAGTACTAATTAATTACTACTACCTCACTCATCGAGTACTAATTGATTGCTACTACCCCAATCATCGAGTACTAATTGATTACTACTACCTCTATCACCGAGTACTTATTGATTGTTACTACCTCTATCACCGAGTACTATTTAATTACTACTACCTCTATCACCGAGTACTAATTGATTACTACTACCTCTATCAACGAGTACTAATTAATTACTACTACCTCAAACATCGAGTACTAATTAATTACTACTACCTCACTCATCGAGTACTAATTGATTGCTACTACCCCAATCATCGAGTACTAATTGATTACTACTACCTCTATCACCGAGTACTTATTGATTGCTACTAACTCTATCACCGAGTACTATTTAATTACTACTACCTCTATCTCCGAGTACTAATTGATTACTACTACCTCTATCAACGAGTACTAATTAATTACTACTACCTCAAACATCGAGTACTAATTGATTACTACTACCTCAAACATCGTGTACTAATTGATTGGTACTACCTCAATCACCCAGTACTAATTGATTGTTACTACCTCTATCATCGAGTATTAAGTGATTACTTCTACCTCTATCATCGAGTACTAATTGATTACTTTTACCTCTATCACCGACTACTCATTGATTACTTCTACCTTTTTTTTATCACAAATAAGTTACATTTTAAAGATATGTCAACACACCACTTGCGACTGAGTGTCCGTTCAGCATTTCTGTGAGAGGGACGCAATCTTCTGTCACGATGAATGTCATATTGATGCCACTATACATGTAGTTATAAATCCTTCCTTTTACTGCGTGTGGACCAGTTCCCATGACGATGGGCGAGTATGTGGCGTTGGCTATAAATAGATCAATCAGATCAAACAAATACAACTCATTAAAAAACTAACGAACATGATACCATAAACATACAAGATACATAAATTGACCCACCTGTTTAGGCATGCATGTTATATAATCTGTTTGACTACTACATCTTAGTCAGTAAAAGTTATTGAAGACAAAAATACAATGAAAACTGTGTGTGTAGACCGAGCTACGTACCTGGCGTGCACTGGTCTGGGAAAGTAGTGGTCAGCGGACCCTTGGTACAAACCCCGTTTTTGACTTCGTACTGCTTCCCCTGAAATTGACAGTCACTACTGTATTATTTTAGTCCAACTAGATATATATATATATTTACAAAGCCAAAGTGGACGTGAAGGTGGCATACACTGCTGAAAACAGATTATCACACTCCATGTTACCGATAAAGAAATATAACGCGTCCCAAATATATTACCGTATCGACGGTGAACTAGCTTTCTATTAGAGTACAGACTTTCCATTGGCTTCTACAGTAGTGTTGTAATGGAATATGAGGTCTCTACTATGTCGGTCATCTAAGTATACTTTCCATTGGTTAATCATTTTGTGTTATTGAAAATGAACTTGCGCTTACATGTGTTATATATCCAAATATACCATTAAAGTGCACCGGTCCTCCAAAAATGTCTTTCGAATATAAAATATGCAAAAATGAGCTGTCCTGTGTTTCTGGTTCTAAACTAGTTTGCTTTCTCGAGTGAGGGTTCACATATGCATGTGCATATTGAATAGTTCAACATAATTCTCATTAAACCAGCTAAATATGCCCTTCGTTGCAGCGTCCAGAAAATTAGACATCTGCTTTGCAGCTTTTTTGTAAAAATAAAGGTGGTATGCTTGACAAATGATTGCATGCGGAGGAACAGTATCTTTAAAATAATGGCCGTAAAATAATAAGATGGTAAGTCACGTGGTCTTAGAAACACTGGGGTAGTCAGGAAAGTACATTCTAATTGGTTTCCAATGTGTAAGAAAATAAAATAAATGTTTGTTTTGATATGATTGTTTAATTTATATCTCCCATTAATATTCCCCGATCGGACGTGGAAAGGTTGGGGTCACCTGCCCAACCACGTGGGTTTTCCCCGGGTACTCTTTCAGTTTCAGTTTCCTCCCACACTAAGACCCCCACGCGCTAACATCCAGGCTAACAAGAGTGATTAAAATAAGTTAAAATAACTTGTTTCATAATTGTTTAAAAAATACATAAAATTTATATTTCATATATAATTCATATCTCGATATTCGAAAATGTTCGGAAAATAAAATAAAATGTTTTTATACAAAAGCTGTAAAAAAACCCCACGTTTTGTGTTCTTTTTTGATAAAGTGATTTTACTTACAGCAGCATAGTCCTTCAACTCTACTGTGATTGTCGGCGGATAATTCTCAACAATGGTGGTTGACTTTGTCACAGTCTTCTTGTTGATGGAATCATAGGAGGTCATCATGGAAATCTGTAAATGTAAATATATCCGTATGAGTTCTTAATACTATGTTGAACTCTCTTTGATTTGTGAGTCGAAATCGGAACACTTCTATCGCTTCATTGACCCTTTAACCCCTATGTACCTTAAGTAGACTCTGCCATGCATTGATACGGATGAGTCCATTATGGTCTACAGTGGTGACAGGGCTGAAGCAATAATCGATCGATGTGCTCCAATAATCAGATCAAAGGAAATGCAATCGGCAAAGGTGAGTTTTGATGCTATTTATAGGTGTAATCACACGCGTGTCTCACGCTTTCATAGCACAGGTTACTGAAATGGACAGTATCGCTTTGTTATAACAGGAAGAAAGTGAAAATTAAAATTTTAGCGCATCGTGAAAGGACAAACACACAATCTGAATTCAAGTCGATAAACAGGAAATGAGGAGACATCAATACAAAACAGAAGTAGAGAAATTGTGAATCTTTACTTGATTGCGAAGAAGCACATAATAAACAGCTCTACAAATGACTGTATAATCAACACATAAGAGATACGGAGGGAGTAAATCCTTTCTATTTATACCATCGGACCAAAATAGATTGATAGCAGTTTAGAAGTTTTATTTTCGATGAACCTTACACAAATAGCAATAGTATACAACTTATTCTAATATCATATTTTGTCACTTAAAAAAAATATGTTCTTCTCTGGACTTTTAAATATGCATGTCACGTGGGGTTGGGACATATGTACTTCCGGTAAACACCGATATTCGGACAGCTGTATGTCTGAAATTTCACGAAGTATGTAATATCAGCAATTTCAGTCCAAACCTATCTTTCACTTTGATAAAGCTGTATTTTTGTTGATTTACTTTCATACCGGAAGCTTAGATATTCCCCCCAAATACACAACATGATCGTTAAATCACGTAACATTTACGGGGAATTTGTGTCGTGGAAACGACGTTAAGTCTACGTCTTAAACGGTACACAAATTTTACCTCATAGGCAGTAAGCAAATTCTTAGTAATACACAGTGTACACATTGTACGTAGTAAACAGTAAACACATTCTACGTACTTTTCACATGTCTACGTTCTACACAATGCAGATAATTGACTTACAGTTTGCTTCAATGCTTTGCCGTTCACGTCAATTAAACCCAACGCACCACCTGGTGACTCGAACTGTTTAGGAACGCAGCAGACTTGAGAATTCAATTTTTCTTGTACATCTTCAATCAAAGTAATTGTATATAATCAGTATTGGTGTATACTTTTAGATTTAAGGACTGGTGAACTGTATGCTTGAAATTTCTCACAGAAATAACATTTCAAATATTTTACCACCAATGCATGGTTCATGATAACAACGTACACGTCTAACAAAGTGGTGAACGCCTGAACATTCAAATTCATATTACTGAAAGGATTATCTAAACGCGGAATAAAAATATCACAGTAATGTGTGTACTCTTGAACGCTAAGTACGTATCCCTATCAGCTCGTACGATATTTAGGTACAATGCTAATTTTTGACAGGAACGTGCAAATACACTATCCAAGGAGAAGCCGACTGAATTATAACACCCATTAAAAGTGGTTCAAAATGTATTGTATAAACATATTATTAATTAGTAGTCTTGTAAATTGACTGTAACGTTACTAAAAAATGATGCAAGTCATAACGGTTACACATACTCTTATCGTTTGGTATCTTCGCACGTGAACATAGAAAGGAGTGACGTGGTACACATATATGTGTACAATGCGGTGGCGTACCTACCTGGGACTCTGTGTTCATGCGAACAAGATGGGGGGATATCGAAGACGGCAGGATCAGCAATACCAAGTGTGGTTCCATTATATGCAATAGCCACGACGTATGGAGCTGCATAATAGATCATTTAACGTAAACTTAAATCGTTTCATCAGCAAATGATGTTAATATAAGCCTTGTTTAGCTTTCTGTATCTACAAACACAATCTTAAAATATGCGATTCATTTCTTTTTATTTCAGGGAATTATTTTTTTCTGCATATTTAACAAACATATTTAAAGTTTGACCTCACATGCAACTAACGAGGTGAGATTATTTAAATATGGAGTCGGAATCGTTTTGTTGTTACTCACTAACTAACGTGATTAAGTTATTTAAATATGGAGTCCGAATCGTTTTGTTAATACTCACTTTTTCCGCTTGTACAGGTCGTGGTATTAGAGAACGGTGTACAATTCTCTGTGACCAACAAAGACGATATCATATCTGCGTCTTTTACTATGTAATCTGTTGCCAAGATCTTTTTGTCACCTGCTCCAAAATACATGGGTATGCCCTTCGAGGCATTATCTGTAAAATAGCACACCAATCAAAATACAGTTGCAATAACTATGTTAATTATCCAATCACAGCAACTATTGTACGTGTTCCTCTGAAAATCATAATATAACTGTCTATTCAACCAATCACAACATATTTCTTATTTTTATTGACCAATCATGCTGAAACTGGAATATTTAGACAGCTAATCACAACGAATCATCAATTTGACAGAAATGATAATGTTTATTTTATCAAAATGATGAAAGGAGTCAGTAGTAATTTGTCCGAAAGTGTTACTAAATATAACATAGCGTACCTGGAATGCACTGTGCGGGAAATGGACCAGTAAGCCTCGATTTGGTACACGCACCTTCTACCACAGTATATTGATATCCCTAGTTTTGTTAACAAAAAACGAAAGATTAACATATAGGTTTGACTGACATTTTACAGCATATATCATTATAAACGGAATTTGAAAATCCACAAAGAACAGTTATTGTACAACTTATGACGCGTTACACAATAACACATATATATCATACAACTAACAACACGTCACACAAAAACATATATATATATATCATACAACTTACAACGCGTCACACAATAACAGATACATACCCTACAACTTACAACGCGTCACACAAAACATATATATATCATACAACTTACAACGCGTCACACAATAACGCATACATATCATACAATTTACAACACGTCACACAAAAACATATATATATATCATACAACTTACAACGCGTCACACAATAACACATACATACCCTACAACTTACAACGCGTCACACAAAACATATATATATATCATACAACTTACAACGCGTCACACAATAACGCATACATATCATACAATTTACAACGCGTCACACAAAACATATATATCGTACAACTTACAACGCGTCACACAATAACACATACATATCATACAACTTACAACGCGTCACACAATAATACAGATATATATCATACAACTTACAACGCGTCACACAATAAAACATATATATCATACAACTTACAACGCGTCACACAATAACACATATATATCATACAACTTACAACACGTCACACAATAACACATACATACCCTACAACTTACAACGCGTCACACAATAACACAGATATATATCATACAACTTACAACGCGTCACACAATAATACAGATATATATCATACAACTTACAACGCGTCACACAATAACACATACATATCATACAACTTACAACGCGTCACACAATAACACATATATATCATATTACTTACAACGCGTCACACAATAACACATACATATCACAAAACTTACAACGCGTCACACAATAACACATACATATCACACAACTTACAACGCGTCACACAATAACACATACATATCACACAACTTACAACGCGTCACACAATAACACATACATATCATACAACGCGTCACACAATAACACATACATATCACACAACTTACAACGCGTCACACAATAACACATACATATCACACAACTTACAACGCGTAACACAATAACATATACATATCATACAATTTTCAACGCGCCAATGGGTTTTATAGATAATACCTTTGATATTGTTTTGATTGTCGCATTTAGCATTAATCGTGACAGTTTGATCATAAGTTGCCTAATGAATTCTTTACATGTGTGTTGACCGTGACAAGTTATGACAGTTAAACCAATACGCATCCGTTATCAGGTGATCATTTTGATTCAGTGTCAGGTCACATTTTGGAATTTATACGACAAAGACGGTTAATATATTGTAACACATTAATACACTTGTACAAATGTACTCAAAATTAGATAGATTACTTGACGAACTTTTCCTGAGTTTTAGGCAATAATGTCACCACACAGGGGATTGTTTGAAATCTTCCGAAATTGGAATTTACAACTTGTCAAGTGAATGATAACTGGAGCTTAGTTAAGAATGTAGTACAAATTTCAAAGATGAAACTCATTTCAGACAAATGCAAACAGGATACAATATATATATATAGGATCTTACCTGAGTTTCCATTTCATATGAGATTTATGAAACGAGCCTAATAATATTTCAATTTAGCGAGCCTCTGGCGAGCTAAAATGAAAAATTCGTGACGAGTTTTATAAATTTCATTTGAAATGAAAACGAGTGTAAGATCATTTTTAACACATGCTCAAGATGTGTGGCATTTATTCGTGTAACACGACAATTTTCATGCAACCTTGAAATGTAAAAAGCCGCCATTTTGACCCCAGTCTATGACGTCATGTACTTGTCCTATGCGGTGACATCACAATTTAAACAATTGAAACTTTCAACCAATCACAGGGCTGATACGTCATATAACATGGGTTAATACGCAAAAATATATGACATGGATTAGTCGCTGGATAACACAGTACATTATGTGATAAATATACTTTTCGTGACGATCTTTACTGAAACACGAGGTTTCCTGCCTCAGTCATATTATACACTTACTTGTTTGTAATCACTTAGAATGTGTTTAGTCTCTGTTGTCTGTCCACGTGTGATTGTTGATTTAGTCATCAATCTTTCATTCGTAGCATCATAAGCCGTCCGTGCTGTAGCCTTCAACAAAGAAAAGTAAGCTCTTATACTCTATTGAGTATATGATCAGAGGGAAACATGTTGAGGAAGCAAACATATCCTCCTTTTTAATATAAATGTCTTTACTACACGCAGGCTAGGTTTTAGATGGATTACCACACATAAAGTACGATTTGTGTATTGGACCCTGGAGAACATGTGACGACCAGACAACACCCGTTAAGAATGCTGCCGTCTACTCAGCCCTGTCAACAGACTTGTATTTCCAGCAAGGTGTGTTAGTTAAAATCCCTGATATACAATAATTATCAAACATCTCTTTTACAACCTCACACCCAACCATCCCCCAACTCGCTGTTATTGATTGAAATTTCTTTCGTAATCATGTGCCACACATTGAATAGGATTTGTCTGTTGTACGGTGGCTGATATGTGCCATTTCGTTGTTTCGTCTTTTCGCCCCGAAAGGACGACAATTAACAAATCTTAATTCTCGTTGTGTCTTCGTTTCGCCCCGGAAAGACGAAACAACGAAATGGCACATATCGGCTACCGTACCGTTGGCCCTTGGTTATCTCCTTAAGCATATTGCTTTCAATGCACACACATGCATTACAGATACCGGGGCACGTCCTTAAACTGACATTAGTTGTTAATATAACAATATCAATATCAATATCCCTCTATACAATTAGTCGTTATATTTGTAATTAATCTACCAAGCTCGGTCCAGTCAGAAATATATCTTTTTGCAGATGACACCAAGATTTTTAAAATAATAAAAAACAGAGAAGATAGTGCTGATCTCCAGGAAGAATCTAGATACAATGTGTAAGTGGAGCGACACATGGCTACTTAAAATGCATCCCGACAAGTGCAAACACATGGGATTGGGTAAGGAGACAACCCGAGGACAGTAACCCCCGGACAACCTATCATCTTCATGGGAAAGACTTACAGACAATCACCGAGGAAAAGGATATCGGGGTCACCATAGACTCCGAGTTATCCTTTGATAAGCGAACTCAATGTTTGCACTCCTACGGAGAACATTCCGTTCATAATTGGACTACGCGAGCACTGTGTGGGCACCATACCTAAAAAAATCACATCGATAAGATAGAGGCAGTGCAACGAAGAGCAACCAAGTGCCTTCTAGGCATGAGTAACCTCAGCTACAGCCAGACTGGAAATACTCCAGCTACCAATATTAGCCTTCAAAAGAGTAAGAGCCAACTATATACAATTATTAATGGAGTATACGATCAGGAATGCTGCAATGCAGTAGTGTTATGGGAAGACGCCGCTCAACGACACAGCCGTCGAGTAAACTCAAAAACGATATACCCAAGACGCTCTTCTACCATACCAAGGAAAAACTATTTTTCAATAAGATCGGCATCAACATGGAATAAACTACATGAATATGTTACTTCAGCAAATAATGTTAACAAATTTAAAAATGAACTAGACAACAACTGGAAAAACCAAGATTTCTTTTAAAATTACAGAGCTGCAATCATAAAATTGTCAAATTATTTATATTATATGCATAATACTACTTTGTATGTATTTTTTGAGTCTGGTACAGAGGGCTTATGTATAAATCCTGAACCGGAAATAAACTTATCTTATCTTAAGACCAAATAAAATCTGCAATTTGCAGTTATATATTGCTTAGGTTAATGGAATGACAGAAATGGACGAGTCCAAGAGGCCATTGGCCTCTTGTTTTATTATTATCATTATTATTAAGAGCGTATTCAGTTGCTTCCGTATAGGAGTTTTCTTTGTTGTTTTATATCTTTCGATTCATTCTAACCTACCAATCTTTCCATAATAATGCTAAACTCTTGTTCATTTGCTGACTATAAACACTTGTGAAGGAAATCGATGTGAATGCTTTGAAAACATATTTATTTAAATAGCGTGCACAGTTACTAAACTTGTTGGTAAATAATAGACCTGTCAGTGTCTCCTAAATACTCGTTTGTTTGTCTAACAAGGACAGTAACTAGACCATAACACTTTGTCGACAAGGTCGCTTCGGGTATGTTCGTTACCACTAGGTCATACGCTATTGCAATGTCTATAAATAGCACCGCTTACAAATGAACCTGGCGTAAATATCAAATATAAGGGAATCTAAAATAGCATTGATCATGAAGTTATCTTTATACAATTTTGACTCAATTGCAGGTAAAACCCTTAAAGAGCACACGAGCTTGACGGGTATATTATGCTTTGTACTGAGTATTAACAACATACCTTGACAGGTATCATTTTCCCGTCCATCATTTCTCTCCCCTCGATATACTCGCTTCTCTCTAACTGTGGAGGTGCACAACATCTTGATGCAGAGCTCAATGCAACGAGACCAACAAAGCTGACCAGTGCTAAAGTGTTCATGTTTGCTGCCGCAGATCTCGATCAGATGTTAGAATAACACGCTGTTGTATGATATATATAGCGTTCCGGAAGTGAGTCGTTATCATGTGATTTTGACTAGGAAGCTTCACAACATAAACACGTACTGTTAGCTTGAGGTTATCACGCGTGTACTCGTATAGGTTACGATCGTATGATTGTAATTTCGCAATATGCACAGCAGACAGATGCTTCTGATTTGGAAACAGGTAATCTTGTGATTGTAATTTCGCAATATACTTAGCAGGCAGCGCTACTAGATTAGGGGTCGGGATATCTCACTTTTGAAATCGATGGCTCAAAAGACCCAAGGTAATAAAGAACTTGAACTTGGGAGGAGGCGGGCTTACAAATAAGGAGGCCAGGTTATTTATGTTCAACGCCAATCAGGGCAAGGTCTCGAAAGCATACTGTTCATGGCACTAATTGTGAGAGGTTTTTAACCAGTCATCTTTCCAAAACAGCATAATATTTGCAACTGAATTTATTTTACTTCCCTTAACGATGGAAAATATAACCTGGTAAAAGCTTATCTAAATAGAAATATTTCTAAATATTCATCAAAATATGTTTTGTTCTGATTTGGAGCAGGGCGTATAAGTCCAAATTAAAAGAAGTACACATTTCAGTAATTCGGACATAGCATGAACGAATTTTCTCGATTGCAATAATAATACTTTAATGCCAACTTGAGCGCATGGACACGTCATATTTTAATATCTTTTTAGAAAAACAAAAAACTATGTCATTCACGTAAATAACGTGATACGTTCTCCTTCCATACGGCGATGAATGCATAACTCACCTGTATAAACGTATCGATCACGCTTCATAGTGACAGATGGCCGCCTGACGTCACATGTGATTTGCCTGGATCAGTTTATCAAGATAGGTTACGAACCACTAAAATAAATAGTTTTTCTTCATGCATCAGGTATACATGTTGATGTCATAAGACTTACAGAAATGACCGAAACGCAACCACCCAAAATAAAACCACCCCTCACAAACAAATTCTAAATAGAGTGTAATGGGCAATCAACTGACATATATACACAGACTTAATTCTCATTATGTACTTATCTTGTATGACGTGTACGAAAAAAAGGGTTATTAAATAAAACCTTTTGAATTTGACAACTTTATGGTAACAGTGTGTAGGCATTCTGCAATCAACAAATAGAAACGTTACAGTCTTTATAGACAGTCTTACTTATACTTACGCAATTTATAATCGTCTCACATGCTAAATTTCGTTGAGCATATCCTCCTCGAGTGTGTTCTCTGGGTGTCAACATATTTACCAACAATAGGCAGGTGTTGTTTTATGAAACAATGGCAAGTCAATTACATACCGTTTCATATAAAGGCTGTATTTTCACCAAAATATTCACCTGATATTTACCTGTGTTTCATACTACACACATTCTTAGATAACGTTTGCTTATCCTCCGTTCTAAATACATAAAGCAATATTATTTCAAAAGGCCTAGTATGCATAAATTTGTTCAATTTCTCAAAATCGAAAACACAAAAGAACTTAATAATTTAGGAAAGTATTTATCACGAGCGTTTAAACGTAGAGCAAATTTATGAAGAGGTCCACACTAGAACAGGTCATGTTAAGATACATGTTGTATATCGGGTTAATGAATACAAATTAGTGTGAATGAGGGTGAAAAAGGTTCTGGCGTGTGTATGAAAGTGAGTATGATGAATGACGAATGATTGCTGCTGCTGCTGATGATGGTGTGTGCGAGTTAGTGTGAGCGTTCTTGATGATGATGATGATGTTTCCGAGTCAGTGTGAGTGTGTCCTTGGTAGTATCTTTGTCTTATCTGTAATTACCATAAGTTGTAAAACTCCAGCAAATAATGTAACATCTTCTAAACACTGAAAAGTGTCTCCTTATATTATAAAGAAACAAAAAAGAAAAAGAAAACATTTTAAATAACAGTATGATATTCCTATATTTGTACTAAATATATAGTCCTAACCACTACTTAATTGTCTGAGTTTGTTTTCAAAGCAAGGATTAAAAATGATTTAACTCTGTGTATTAATCTAAAAATGCTAAGAAAAAAATATATGCCATGAGGGAACATACATGTATAAACGGAAACTGAAAATGCAAGAAAATACTTGAAATTAAAACTTTAAACTTGTTCCATGAAGAGCTCCTGATCTCGTTCAAAATGGTGAAGGATCTATCGGCATCTGCACAGACTGACCTATATAAGAGTTGAATAGATAAGGGGAGTAAAGACCCGAGACTAAATACATGTACATGCATAAGAATTTATTAATCCTTTTTTTTAAAGTTAGAGTGGTGTTGTCTCTTTAACTTTGCTTATTTTTTTTTATTTATTTTTTAATTGATATAATTTATACTTTAAAGCCCAAAGTCTGTCGCTAGTGTTCATTTCTGATTAGCTTGTATCAGAGACGTAATACAACTTCAGCAAATACAGAACTTGAACTTGTAATACATTTTTGCTTGACTTTTTACATAACGACTTGACTGTTTGATATACATACATGTTTTAATGTAATTTGCATTCTTTTACGTAATTTATCGGGATATTGCAAAGGGTGGGCAGATACATCTTCCCTGTAGAACATTCCTTAATAAGGAAAATTCCTTAACTGAAAATTCTCTTATATAAAGCATATATAAAACTCTTACGTAAAGGATAACTAAATTTAAGGAAAATGTCTATGCTATCATATGAAAAGAAACAAGAAATCACTTATACGCCTGTAAGGTAGTATAGTAGGAAATACTTAGTGATTTGGTTTCCTAAGCAGATGACAAAAATAAATACTAAATAGGGTGTCGTTAAATTTTGATTAATTGTGCTGTATACTTAAGTTATTGATCTGTTATTGAAAGATCAATTCATTTAATATTAAATCAAATACTATATAGATCAGCTTGTAAATATTATCACAAATATAAGACTTTCAGAAATTTAAAAGTCAAGAAAGTTTTATTTATATTAATATATGTGCTTCAGTTCCAACAGGTACGTTTTACAGGTAGATTTACTTATTGAAACCTAGCTACTTTTTAAGAAAATGACTATAAACCCTATCAAAAAAAGTTGCCCTACAGGTACATTAAACATGTTGGCACTCAGTGATACATCCCTTCGTCGGAAACTCCAGGCCTTCTAAACGGTTCAGTTAACAAGATATTTACAACACAAGGTATACATATGAACATAATCAGAAACATAGACACTCATATCACACAAACAATAACATTGTTTCGAAACAAGATAATGATCGCGACCATACAGCATCATAGCCTTTCCCTATCAACAAGTGTATCTAGAAACATTGTGTCTTAAGTGTGGGTTTTTTCGTCAGCAGTCGTTTTTTATTAGGTCTTGATATTCGGAGCAAGGTCATTAACACCAAAATAATATGATACATATGATATGTAACCATTATAGGTTTGAAAAGCAGGGATGTCTGTATCAAGTAAGGGAGTGTTCATCATCAAAAAATGTATTTTCCCAATTTTTGCGTCCGTTTTTTTAATGTTTTTGTTGTACACTGTATGTATGTGTTTATATGATGTGTTGGAGCTACTTAAGGTTTCGTTTTGACATTTTTTTTCTGTGATTGGTGTTACATTGTATCAATTTTATGATTTTGTGAAATGGTACTTTCATATTAACTTGTGTGTCATGAAATAGGGATGTAAGTACAACATATTTGTGTTCATAATTTTGATACTGACGTCAGTTTTATTTGTGTTTTAATTAACACAGGTCTACAAATTGGTGATTGTTACAAATATAGCATGCGTGGCTACCGATACACCATGCACATTACTATATGTGGTTTTACATTATTTTGCTGCCCTTGGACACATTAAGTCATCCTACGATATTAAATCATATGATTTTAGATATACGAATGATACCGTTACGATAAGAAACCAGGTGATCACGAGCGCCAGATCATTACGTAAGAAAATTTGATTTCGAAATATGAGCTGAAATCACATGCTAAAAACAAACGGGAGTGGGACAATCAAAAATAAACTTCGTATTATATCTAGGATATAAAAAAAGGAAAATTAAAATATATCCTTTACAATCGAATACAAAATGTATAAAAATACCGTCCATGTTACAGGTCCCTTGTGTCCACTTGTATCAGCAAATAAACAGATGAATTTCGAGTATCAAATTTATTAAGTATTTCTATTTTTATACTGGTTTGCCCTGTCTTAAAACCAATATCGTACAGGAGGTTTACAATCAGTTTAACAACAGACACACTCAATCAGTATGACCACAGACAGACTCCATCATTATAACTACAGACAGACTTAATCAGTATAAAAAAAGACAGACTCAATCAGTATAACAAAAGACAGACTCAATCAGTATAACCACAGACAGTCTCAAACATTATAACCACAGACAGACTCAAACAGTTTAACTACAGACAGACTCAATCAGTATAACTACAGACAGAATTAATCAGTATAACAAAAGACAGACTCAATCAGTATCATTACAGACAGTCTCAATCAGTATAAACAGAGACAGTCTCAATCAGTATAAGCAGAGACAGACTCAATCAGTATAACCACAGACAGTCTCAAACATTATAACCACCGACAGACTCAATCAGTATAACCACAGACAGACTCAATCATTATAACTACAGACATACTCAATCAGTATAACCACAGACAGACTCAATCAGTATAACTACAGACAGACTCAATCAGTATAACTACATACAGACTCAATCATTATAACAACAGACTGACTCAATCAGTATAACTACAGACAGACTCAATCATTATAACTACAGGCTGACTCAATCAGTATAACTACAGACATTCTCAATCAGTATAACTACAGACAGACTCAATCAATATAAACAGAGACAGTCTCAATCAGTATAACCAGACACAGTCTCAATCATTATAACCACAGACAAACTCAATCAGTATAACTACAGACAGTCTCAATCAGTATAATTTCAGAACGACTCAATCAGTTTAACTTCAGAACGACTCAATCAGTATAACCAG